CCGCCCCCGCCCGCCCGCCCGCTGGCTTGGTTTGCCCTGGGGCCGGACGGGGGTTGCACCGGGGTTGGCACGGGGATGGAAGGGGGTTGGAAGGGGGTTGGAAGGGGGTTGGAACGGGGTTGGAACAGGGTTGGAATCAGTTGAAACACGGTTGGAACGGGTTGGAAGGGGGTTGGAATGGCGTTTGCAGTTCAATAGGTTTGCAACAGGTTTGCAGTGCAGTGGGTTTGCAACGGGTTTGCAATGGGTTTGGAGCAGTTCTGCAACGCGATGGCTCTGCAGTGGCCATGCAATGGCCTTGCAATGATTCTGCAATGGATTTGCAATGCAGCAGCTTTGCAGCGGTTCTGCGTCGGCTCTGCGGCGCTCACCCAGCACGGCGGGGTTCTTCATGAGCAGCACGAAGCCGTAGCGCAGAGTGGAGCTGATGGTTTCTGTGCCCGCAAAGAAGAGGTTGAGGGCCGTCAGCTCCAGGTTCTCCATGGTGAACTCCGAGTTGGGGTCGTTCTTCTCCTGGGGGCAGAAAGGGGGCGGCGGGGGTTGGAGAAAGGGGCAGAGCTGCTCTGGGGGCTGCAAAGGCGATGGTTGCAGAGCTGCTCTGGGGGTTGCAATGGGTTTGCAATTAATGGGTTTGCAATGGGTTTGCAATGGGTTTGCAATGGGTTTGTAGTGGGTTTGCAATGGGTTGCCAAGGCAATGGTTGCAGAGCTGTTTTGGGGGTTGCAAGAGGTGAAAAGCTGCTTTGTGGTTTGCAAAGGCACAGAACTCTGGGGGTTGCAAAAGGTGCGGAGTCACGTTGGCATTTGCAAAGTCAACGTTTGCAGGATCGCTCTGAGCTTGCACAACGCTGACGGTGCAGCTTTGCTGCGGGACACACAAACAAACCCGGGGCTGGGAGGGGATCAAAGCTCAGAGCGTGCAAACAAACGACACGCGGGTGTCATGTCTCCAACGGCGCGAAGAAACGCGGCCGGCGGGTTTGGGGGGCAACAAACAAATGGGGGGCAGGGGGAGGAGGGGGGGTGCAAAGGGACGCCTGCAGGAGGGAGCGGGGCTGCGTGGGGGGGGGGTGCAGGAGCAAATCTCAAAGCGTGCAGGAGAAGCGATGCACGCACACAAAGCGGGGTGCGGGAGCAAAAGGCGCAGGAGGAAACTCCAGTTTGTGAGCAAAGAGGTGCGTGCAGCATGAAGCAAAGCGGGGCTGCAGGAGCAAAACGTGGGGTGCGCGTGCAAAGCGAGGCGTGCAGGACGAAGCAGAGGGGCGCAAAGCAAACGATGCCCCCCCCAGTGCCACCTTGTCCATCTGCAGCAGGAAGCAGTCGATGAAGTCGCGGGGGTTGCTGGGCTCCAGGCTCTGGGCGTTGCTGCGCACGCGGCGGGCAATGAAGCGGCGCATGGAGTCCAGCAGGGAGTAGATCTTGTCCTGGGGGCCCGGGAAATGCTGCAGCAACGTCTCGTTCATCTCGTAGAGCTGCTTGGTGGGAGGGGGGTGGCAATTTGGGGGGGGGTTGAGGTTGAGATGAGGGGAGGTGAGATGGGGCTGCACCGCGAGGAGCGGGCGAAGCCGTGCGTGCAGAACCCCATGCGTGCACAGCCTGATGCTCTGCAAACCTGCTGCATGCAGAAGGTGCTGCTTTGCAGAACGCCCTGCATGCAAAACCCGCTGCACCCAGAACCCAAAGGTGATGCACCCCACTGCTCCCAGAGAACGTTGGGAACCCCAAACCCACGCCCCCCCCCC